CCCCGCCAGCCGCTTCTACCGCCTCGGGTCCTGTCTAGGAGGTAGGAGCCGGTTCCCCGCTGCCCCTTTCCCTCCCTCGCTGCGCCGCGGGCTGTGCCCCCACCCCGGCCCCGCCACGAGGGTGTCCGGTCCCTGACGGGGTGCCCCTCTGCTTTGCCAGGACCTCCGGTGGCGGCCGGCGCGGCGGCACTGTCGGCTTCAAGTCACCGGTGAGTCCCCGCCCGGGCTGGGGGGGAGGCGGGCCTTGCTTGGTGGCTTCCCCCGGGAGCGGCCTCGGCGGCGGAGGGACCGGCGGCGGGTGGTGCACCCCGGCGAGTGGTGCCCCCCGGCAGCCACTCGCACCTTTACGGGAGCTCGCCCTGGCTCAGCAGGGAGGATTTTTCCTGAAGTTGCTCGTTGCCTGAGGAGCTGCCGGCCCAGCTGTTTGACGCTGCGATGTCGTGGGTGCTTCTCTTAAAAGCCAAACTGTGATTTTTAGTTTTTGTTTTCACTTTATGCTGTAAATTTACCAAGTCCTGTAGAACATGATATGGACCAGGCTAACCTTACAGAATCTGAAGAGCTTCCCCCACCTCCCTGCCCAAGAGATACTTTTTTCTTTTTTCTCCATCTCCTACACACAGAATATTTTCTGATTAGTGCCCTCCAGCACTGTAGCATCTTATCCAGGGCTGAGTTAGTGTATAAATGTCTTCTGTGCTCCACAGGTCCCATCTCCGAGGTCCTGCCAACCTAATGGAGCCAATTCAGAAGCCCTGAAGTATGAAATCGAAGAGCTGAAACAGAAAGACCTTGCTCTAGACCAGGAAATTGCACAATTATTGTCAGAGTATGTCATTGGCAAGCTCAGTGTTCACTGTCATGCATCAATTATTTTGGTTTTAAAACAAAATGTGGTCCAGGAATTAGAGCTAAAAGCTGACCTCTTATGATGCCGTTTTTATTGTGGCGTTATATGGGGTTGATTACTGTTGTTTTGAGTTATGGGACCTGTTTCAAGAGGGAATTCTTTCTGGTTTATTTGGTGAAGCAAAACAAGTTTTACTAGTAGCTTGCATAAGAGGATTTTAACTTTATCACAGATGTTGCTGAGGTAATTACATGCAAACTGGGAACGAATAATTTTTACCATCATACCACAACATGTCATGCTACCAGAAGAGCTTGTTTATGTGAGAATTAAAATTGAGATTATTACTTGTATGACCTGCCAAATTTAGCCCCAGATAAAACTGTTTCCTTTTTTGTTCCATCTTGATCAAGTGTTCACTTGTGTGAGGTGAGTGGGTTAAACCTTTGTGCTCAAGAAGCAGAGGTATTCTCCAGGCAAGCAGGTGGCCTGTAGAACACTTTGGCATGACGGGTGCCACATACAGGGTAGTGCAACTGTTTTATTGTGGTTTCTTGTGACATGCTGTGGCAGCTGCTTATTTGCAACTGTTTTGAGATAAAATTGCTGCTTGATTTTTTAAAAGACAGGGAATCTCAGTGGTTATTCATTGCAAAGGAGTGATATTTTCTAAGATAATGTCTAGTGCATAGAATGGAAATGGTAGAACAACAAAGGCTGTTCCAAAAGCTTTTTTGTTTTATCCTCTAGGATAAACAGACTGATTTTTTTTTCCCCTAGCTACAGGTTAGAGATACATATAAATTGAATTCACTACAGCCTATTCCTGCTTCTGCTTGATTCTGAGAATTCAGGTGAATTGGGGTTATTTTTATAAGTATTGATGTGGCAAAAAAACCTCAAAATGAGGATCTGCTCATTTGTAGCTTTCATATTTATGACTTGCAGCAACTGTACCTGCTGCCTTAGATTCTGCTTCTGATGTGCCAAGCTTGGGTACCTCAGATATCCTTGCTGTGCTTGGTCAGTAGTGGCAGCACTCGCTCTGCAGCAGCAGCATCAATCCCTCTGTGTCATCTCTGACCTTTCTGGCTTTATTGTTGCAGAGGCTACAGCCTGGAGGAATTGGAGAAGCACATCTCTCTGCTCCATGAGTATAATGACATTAAAGATGCTGGACAGATGCTGCTGGGCAAGCTGGGTAAGGAAGGGGAAAGCTGTTGAAGGACTTCTTAGTCAACATTTTCATATAGATGGAGGGAGGGAAGCCACTATGCCATGAAGGCAGAGCTTGTTTTAAAAATTCTTCAGTTTTACATTTATATTACCCAGTCACTTGTGCAAGCACAAATGCTTCTGTCGTTATTTTCTTGGGATGTTTTTAGAACTGAACATATGAAATAATTGTTATTACTCATATTTTAGTCTGTGTTATGGATTACCAAAATTTGGGAAGTCTTAATAATTTTTGTCAGTTTGGTTCTTCATATGCTTAAAAAAATAAGTGTTGAGACAAGCAGAGAGCCTAGCTGTAAAACCTGAGATTGGTTTCTTAGCTATGGGAGGTTTTATGGGATAGTTAGGGCTACTGGGAGGAAAACACAAATTTTCTGACTGATCTGAATTTTGTTTCACAAAAGCAATGGTATTTCTTTCTTTTCTAGCTGTTATCCGAGGGGTTACTACAAAGCAGCTTTACCCTGAATACGATCTGGAGCTGAGTGACTAATATTGAACCTAAAGATTGCCACGTCCTGCAAAAATGACTGTTACTGGGCCACTGTGTTTTGGTGTCATATCAGTTTAGAGCTGACATAATGTAGCCTCAAGTATGTATGTAGAACGGCAACAGAGTACGGGTTAGCAGCCTTATTTCTGAGAAGCTTTGGAACTTGAAAGTTGTTGAATCTGTCAGCTGTTTCTTCCTTGTGGAAAAGGGATGTAGGACTTTGGATAATTTCATTTACTATCTGATCAACAGTATTTTAATTTTTTTATCAGAAAGGCTGTAATTCAGGTTGGTGTTAAGACTCTTTCCATGGAGCCTTTGCTTCTCTACCACATCTGGGGCTATTTGGATACTGAATGGATAGAGGAGGGAGGGCGTACAAATGTGCAATGTAATAGCTGCTATGAAAGAAAAGGAAAAATCCCTCAGAAGTAGGGAGGGAAGAAGGCTGAAGTTGTTGTGGTTTGGGGGCTTTGTTTTATAATCAAATCTGGATAAGTCTGCATGTTCTGCATTTTTGTACTTAACTGCTCTGGTATCTAGAGGTTTTGTATAATTTCTGTAGTAAATGGCAAAATGTGAAGTTTTGTTGAACTGTTCCGTCTGAATAAAGTGGATACCCCCATTTCTCAGTAATTCACTTGAAGAGCCTATAAACATCACATGAACCTGGGAACAAATTCTTAAACTTTATTGAGACAACTCTAACATCTATTATTCAGATGTTTTCTGAGGACTCTTAATGGAGACCATGTGGCAGTGCTACCCAGGGATGGGTAGGTGCAGAATTACCCTTACTCTTCTAAATGCAGAGTCACTGTGAAAGTGAGTGGTGTCCTAAACACAAAATTATGTTGAGTGCATGAGCGTTTCAATGTCAGGTGTTAGGATTGAGGGTGACTGCACAGACTAAATTTGGCTGCTTTGGGCAGTTCTAAGTGATAGAGTGCTCTGCTGACTGCAGACCCATTGTCCCTTTTTCACTCAAGCTTGGTGTCCTTCTGCACATTTTTACTTCTAAGACCTTCTCGCCAGTAAGTTTGCCCTGGTCTCCAGTCAGGCCCAGGCTGTGGTCTGTTCGTTATTTCCAAATTTGATTTGAATCTGTCTTCATAGTGCTTAGAAACCAGAAAACAGTCACAAGGCTGCTGCTGAGAACAGATCATTTTTTCTGTGCTCTTCGTTCTGGACTTGGCACGGAAGCATCACTAATAAGTATCTTGTTTTGCCACAAAAGCTGTGGGGAGGGGTCTAGAGCAGGGGCACAGACAAAGCCTGTGTATGCAGTGATTCATTCCAGTGAGTCTCTGCTGATGTGCAGCTGTGCTTCTTGGGAGGGATTTTGCTGTGGCCATGTAAGAATGGACTCAGGGGTATGCTTACAGGTGTATCCTTCCCACCATAAATTACTCGTGCCAAGTGTGGGAAGCTCCTGCATTTTGTAGTTGTAAGGGGAGGAGAAAAGTCATAAGGCAGCTAGAACTGGGCAATGCTAACTTTATTCTCAAAACCCGTGTTGCTGTTTTGGCTGGTGTTTTCTGTGTGGAAGAACTAGTTGAGCCTGGAGTGTTCTAGCCAAAACGTTAGTCTGGCAGCGGCTTGTACAGCTGGAAATGGTTTTTGCAATGGGAAGTATGGACAGAAATTCCTTCAGTTTGTGTTAGGTGTAAGCTAGGGGGGGTGAAGTATACTCCATTACCAAAGTTACTGAAGGTTATTTAAGGACTGAGAAATCTGTGTTTTCTTCCCCTCCTTGTAGGAGCAGAAGGATTAAAACTTGCAGCTGTAGCTGTGGGAGTGTTGTGGCTGGCTCCAGAGCTCATGCTCCTGCAGGGATGGGTCTGCTCTTCAGTTAGCACAAGACAGTTGTCCGTGGGAAGGGCCCCGACCCCACTCCCTTGTCCACGGAGGATGAACACCCACAGAACCAACCAGCTGAGATAAGAGCAACTGCCCTTGGGGAGTCCCTGTGGCTGGCACGGTGACGTGCCACGTGGTGGCAGCTCCGCTCTGCTGCTGCTGCTGCTGCTCTCTGCAGAGCAGGGAATCCCAGAGCAACTAACAGATGCCAGGGTCTAAGTTAATGACTCCTGGGGTGCTTCAGGACAGGACAGCACTCTTTAGGTTCTTCGTCACAGCCCCTCTTACTGCTCCTCCCAGAGTTAACTTCTTGTACCTTAATGGGTATTGTCTGGAGGACGATATGCTGGCCTTTGTCCAAATCCAGAAGAGGAACAGAACAAATCTACTGCTTTCTATAAATCAATCTCCAAACTTGCTAAGTGTATAGCTGCAAAAATACTGAGTGCAATAATGGTGTTAACTTCACATTTTTAATTTAAATTTAGAAAGTGTATTTCTGCGAAGTCAGACCCAGCTGTAACGAGCTAACAGAGAATAAATGGTAGGACAGAGCTTACGGAGTTTCACTGAAGGGCAGTACATGCTGTCTGCATGAAGCTGCTGCAGAGCAGGATAGCACACACCCCTGAACACCCTTGGCTGATCAGGAATACAAAAAGAAAACATTTTAAAAAAGCAGCATGCTCTTTTTTCAATGAGTTAGTGTACTTGTGGATGAGTACTGAGCCAAGAATCAGCCTCTTTCCCCTTTAGGTCACTTTCAGTTTTATTTCTTATGTATCTTACACATCAAGTGGCTATTACAAGCCACTTTCCTCATCACACACGCCTACTCTGGATATAACCATTTCCTTGCATTGCTTTGTGCAAGCTGTGTTTCCTCCTGCACGTCCCTCTTTTAGTCTGACTTTGAGCTCTTACACGTCTGAAAGCAGGGCTAATGGAATGAAAATACTCCAAGACAACAGGGGACAATAAAATCCATATAGTAGATAAGCTATGCTGCCAGTTGCAAGGAACAAACAAATCTGTGCAATCAAGGGAATACAGCTCTCTAAGATGCTGTCTATTTCCTGCTGCTAAACAATTTGGGGATGGGTTTTTATATCCCTTAGCAACCTAATGTTCCCAAAGTCAACAGGAATTTTGGCACAGCTAACTCCTGTTAATGAGCTGTTTGCAATGCTTTAAAAAAAAATTATACAGCCTGTCACTGAAAAAAATGCTTCTCTGATTACAGCCATCTCAAGGAAAGGGTAGAAGTGAACCGCAATTAACCTCTTTCCTTCTGCTGTCCATCATGTTGTCAGCATGTAGCTGCGTTATTGTGCTACAGAGATTGCTTGTGCACGTTCCCTCCGTGGCACACACTCAGCTGTCTGCAGCCTGGGCCATCTCCACATCCATCTTATGAAGAGGACTTTTATCCTGATGGCCTAGCGTTTTCTCTATCTCTGTTTTCACTTTAAGCTGACAGTCCCAAATTGCATTCTGTATATTCTTCAGGTTCCACTGGGTTCTCAGGAGAGCATCATCCAGTGTGAAAACACCATCCCGTATTCTTCGCACTTGCGTGCACACGGCAGATGATTTCAGCTCCAGACCAATCTCATGAACTATTTTTCGGAGGTACTGCTGAGTCTCATGCAAGCACTGGATTTCTAGGAGGACAGAGAGATTCCTTCAGAAGCAGCAAACAAACTCAGACCTTGTCTGTAAATCCAGACACCGCTCACAGTTACCGGAAAGAACTGGCTTGGTAAAAGAGAGTATTTAAGATACAGCACGGTTGGATTATGACTTTCCAGAATACTGCAGGGTGTCTTAGCCCCTCCCAAAATGAATGTTTTACAGAACAAACTCATAGATACAGGAGAATAATATAGAAATTAAGGTATTTCAAAATGGGTAAGAAAAGGTACCTTTTTAGTAAAATAGTTTGTGAGGAGACTGGCTGCAGGAAAGCAAACCACACCTTAAAACCCCCCCCGTAACACTGAACTGCATTACACTGAAACACTGGGATAAGGAAAAATTTTGCCCTGTATGTATTCACCATGCAAATTTTCTTGCTTCAGTCTAAGATCTGGAACTAGCAAGGAATAACCTGTGAGCTAGGTGTGCAGCTGGCTTAATTTATAAAGCAGCTTCAGTATTGTGAGGTTCCAGGTCTTGCCCTACCAAAAAATCTTTCAACCACACTAAACAGTTCATCTAACAAGGAGGTGCTTTTGTGACTCTGGAAACTATAAAACATTAAATTTGTGGAAATTACCAGTTATGTGTTGATACAAAGTTCTAGCAACTCCTTTTGCATTAAATCACAAATAAGAAACTGCAGTTTACTGACTGACTTGCTGTAATACGTACTTAGACTTCCCCAGTACATTTTGTACCAGTCCTACCTAGCTGGAATTCTGGAAGTGTGAACTGGAGGCATCGGATTGCTATGATGATTGGAGGGCTTTTTCCCATGGGGCGGATCAACCCTTTGACAGCCAGCTCATATGCCTCTTGTGTTTTCATGTCAATGTTAGAATGCCTGGAAAAAGAAGAAAGGAAGCAGACACTCTCTTCAATGGGATTCAGAATATCTCCACCCCCAGTAAAGCAGAGCCGCAATTTTTCTTCTTAAAACTGCCTGTGTGTTGAGTCTTTGCATATATTTTAATGCTGTATGTGTACTGTCAGTAGTGTAGCACAGTTTGGGATGGAGGTACTTGGTCATGTCTACAAGATATTTTTGTAGGTCCTAGTGTAGCTAATAGGTCCTAAAATAGCTGGAGATTTCAGGATACAGGGATGCTTAACTGCAACCTCTCACCAGAGCACAGCGCACTCTGAGTAACTTCTCTCTGTTCCTGTCTAGCACAACCTTTAAAGACTTTGATTATGGCTAACAAAATCATCTCATTTGTTTTAAAGACCAACAAATGGCAGTTGGACCAGGTCAGCTGCATTTCCCCACTGGATACGTACATCAGCAGGGCCTTATGATTTGTTCCTTGAATGACAGCGAGAATCCGTTCCAGCTTCTCCCTTGTGATATGATCTGCAAACATTAAGGCAGAAACAAAGTCTCAATTATCCACCCAGAAACTGGAAAGAGACAGCAGTCTGAAATGTGCCATCAGGGTATTACCGTCCCTTTGGCAGGCAGTCACATCAAAATGGGCCGATGAGAACCACTGAGGTGGCTTTAGCAGAGTCACTTCTCCTGGCTGTACTGTGGTAATGCACTGAGCAGCACAGCACCGGGGTACAAAGGGAAGAATTATTTTGCTTAACTGATTTCAAGATGCTGGCTCCAGTTTCTCTTACTGGCTGTTTGAAGAGTTTCATTCAGTTAAAGTTTCTAACCACTATCTCTTAAATATGATTTACAGAGAGATCTGCGACCCACCCAATCCTATAGCAAGCACTGTGATCAGGACTCATACTGGCTTTGTCTACACTGTGGTTGTATTTAGAACAGGCGGACTATGACGTCAGGGTTGCACATGGGCTGTGTAAAAATAACAACTAGAAAGCACTTAAGATGGACCTTTTATCGCTGTGCAGTTTACCCCGTTAAATACTTTACAGTTAGCATGTTGTTTGGTGTTCTGGTTTGGGGTTTTGTTTTTAAAAATACATCAGTCCAGTTTCTTACCAAATGTTGTCTTTTCTACTAGCTTCCCTGTGTCCGAGAAGTCATCAGTGGCTTTACCAAACAGCCCACCAACAGTGTAAACCTTGAAGAAGAGCAAAGAGTGCAATTTATCAAAGAAATACTCCAAGCAATAGAGTAGCAACATTGTGCCATGCAGCTGCCAGGCAGTGCAGGCTATGACAAAGTTGCACAAAAAGACAGCAGCGTCCTCAGCTCATACAGCCATGTGAAATTCCGGACCCTGGAAAGCTCTCAAAAGCATTGGTGGGTTTGAGACTCAGGAGCAGAACCACCGTCACCCAGCCAGTCTGGGTCACTGGGGCAGGGAACAGGCGTGAGGTTGAGCTCGGATGCTGCGAGGCCGTTCAGAGCCAAGCCCTACCTTGGTCAGGTGGCAGTTGTACAGATCAGTGAGCAGCTTGTTCCCATGGCCTATGCCAAGCACTGAAACACAGAAGAGGGGGAACGCGTTATTCAACCGCACAGAAAGTTACGGATGTGCATTTACACAGCGTTGCGCACTCACGTTGCCTTTCTTCCCCCTGGACAGGGCCATACCTCCTCAGAGGTCATGTCTGTGCAATTAGACCCCCAAATTACTGCCTGTCATTAAAACTACGATAAGGCTGGAACTAGGGCTCTTGGATTTCCCTAGAGCTTTCCTCCTGGGGACTCCGGGGCAAAACCTTGGCAATGCTGGCCACAGGGCAGCCGATTCAAGTGGCGGGGTGGAGATGGGGGTTACGTGAGCAGTTGCTGGTGGTGTCACCGGCAGGAGCCTGATGCCTCGCAGTGCCGGGGTGCAGGGTCGCTCCCGTCTCCCGGCCTTGCCAGTGTCTTGCCGGATCGGTCCTTCTGCGTTTTAACATTTATACTCCCAGCTGGGTTGTGAGACCCGGGGGCTCCTGCTGGGTCACGGCGGAGCGTTCACCGCTTCTTCCCCACGCGGAAACCCAGCGCCTCGCAGCCGGCGGGACGCGGCACCGTTCCGGGACGAGACCCACCGAAGACTCCCGAGGCCTTCACGTCCAGCCGGTGACCTGCTCCGATCTTCAGCTCCCTGAACCGCGGGCCTCGGACTGCAACGGAGACGGTGTCGGGGCCGGTAGCAGCCTCCGCCCCCCCCCCGCTTCTCTTGCAGAGCTGAACGCGGCGCCGGGGCGCGCCCCGCGGCAGCACGTCCGGTTCCTACCG